TTACCATAGCTTCAAATGGCGAGATATCGATAATCGATTATTCACGCCACGCCACTGACGCAACCATTAGCAGGCGGACCTTAATCGCATGCGTTTTCTTCGAATTTTGAATTTTTTGTTGGCGCTCGCGGAAGTTTGTGGGCGTTCGGAGTTAAAATACCAGGCTACATTTTCTTGTTAAGGGGCATGCTAACTTAAAAACAGCAACCATTCCTTGACAAAGTTGATAACTCACATATTTATCGATGAATGCGGTTAACCTCACGTTGAATCTGACAAGTTCCTCATCCGTCATACTAAGAGTTTTTAATAGAATCTGCAGCCTGATTGTTGAAATCGAATCGACACTATGTCGTTGCTATGTCGTGTCGTTTAACCGTTTAAGCGGGAAGTGCGATTGTTGAAACCTATGTCTTGTCGGTTCTCACGACATAGGGCGGTTAAGCGCCGACAAACTAACGGCACCTCCGGAGGACCCGATAAAGGCTTTGTCGATGAATAACCTTAAATTTGTTTCGTGTGCTTTATGAAAAAGTGTAAATCCTTCAAAGTGAAGTGGAAAAGTTCTGTGATTGAAGTTTTTTTGCAGTGTTTTTTTGTTGTTTGAAATCTGGTTCAAAATTTGAATATCCCGCCGAATCGAAAGACGTAAGTTGCAATTATATACTTCTAGGTGGCGCTACGGCGCTACTCCCTCCATTTCTTATTTATTATTGTTTATTGTTTACATCTCTTATCAATGCAAATGTGCATTCATATCGAATTCACAGTTTACTTCACACAATGAAAAATCGTTGAATTTTCACTTTGTTACTTTTCATTTTCTTAGTGGAAACGACATGGATTCAAAATGTAATCTACTCAACTTCTCAAGTGTATTGTTGCTTATTATTGTAACAATAAGAAAAGTGCTTACCTCACAGTTTTGGTCCTCTTGTCAGTCTCTCAGTCAGTGATCTTTCTCTGCTGAATGTGCAAGTGATGAGTAACTCTTAATTCCAAGGAAAAAGTATATTCTCTTTTAAATTATCATCTAAAGTTCTCACTAGTGTTGTGTCAAATAATGCTTCGCTCCATTAAGGGGCAAATTATGAAGTTCATTTCATCGTAAGCTACCAAGCGTCAGAGTATTCTCCTTTTGCTGCTGGTATGAAGCTGATGGTAGAGCTTCCCAAGAGTGAAAGAGAGTGCTCTCTCGCAGTTTTTTTGCATCATGATAGTATTTCATAACTGTTACTTGTCGCAGATGGCTTGGGCATTGGAGATGCTGCCGGTCCTTGCCCACCTCCAAAATCTCCATGATTTGATGGAGGAAGAGGATGCCGTGCAGAACTGGCGGGTGGAGAGGAAGCGGTTAAGGGATTCCTGCGACCCATTCATGGCCCCGAAGCGGCAGTTCCAGCAAAACTTCCGCATCTCGAAGAATGTGGCACGAGCCCTGATCCAGAGGCTCGCGCCTCACTTCCCGCCGACACGGAGGTCGTCGCTGACTCCAACCCACAGGGTAAGGATTCTCATAATGATTATCTAATCCTGACAAATTATTTCCTCATTGCTGCAGCATGTAAGTTGATATTTTTTTCAACCTGTCGGAAAGTCTTTTAGTTTTTTTATCTCTCAATATCAAAGACACTAGGGTGTTTAGTTTGAAGCGTAAATGATGGGTGCAGCTCATATTCATTCACTAATCTCATCAAATTAAGATTCTCCTTTCCAGCATCTGCAGTGAGTGTTACCTCAGCACATTAGAACAGCAGAACATAGATGAAATTGTGTGTTTCCTTGACTGGTCAAGGCAAGACTTAAGTCAGTGAAATGGACTTATGATGTAGGTCAGTTTTGTTAGTCGTGTTCTTCCTTGTGCCTACGTAACGTGGAACTGATGACAAGCTGAAGGCCTCTCTTGAGATACCGATAGCTTGTAGCATGTACTAGCCCAACATAAGCAAGATTGACAACTGTTAAATAAGTCAACTTATCACACAAGTCCTTTTCACCTTTATCTTGTCTTGTACATTTGACAAGCACAAGCTTTCAATAAACAATAAATCTGGATCTTTTTTGGAGGAAATGGCAAAGACACTTACTACAGCCAGACATATAGAACCTCATGTTGAAAATCATGGTAAAAATATTTTTAGGAAACTTGAATTCTGTGGAATCCATGAGAACTACCAAAAGCATATAACTACTCCAATTGTGGAGGAAGGTCCCCCAAAGTAAAATAAGTTTGCATGTGCGATGGTGGTAAATAATTTTGTGAAAAAATGAAAAACTAGAAGAGCTGTAATGTGTGATTTTAGGTCCTCGCCGCGCTGAAATTTTTTGCGAGTGGCAGCTACCAGCGAGGCTGCGTGGCGGAGCACAATGCCATCAATATGTGCCAGACTTCTGTCAGTGACAGCCTGGCAAAGGTGATGGAAGCAATGATCGTAGAATTGGGGGCAGAGGTGATCAGATTCCCTCAAACAGCAGAGGAGAGAGCTGCTGTGCAATTAGGGTAAGGAAAAATATCATTAACAATGTTCATGAAATGCTATTCATTTAATAATGTGCATGACAGGAACCTTTTTCAAATTTGCAGCTCAGTTTGAACCACCTAAGCAAAAGATATGTGCAGACATCAACAATACTAACTGCAAAAGGAGCAAATTTTTCTGAAATTTCGAGTTATGAGATCACTTTACTTACCATTATGAAGTTAAATTCTTAATCTATTTGTAAGCCTCATTTCCAGCCGGTCGATAATATTATAATTATGAAGAAACTTTCTTACCTCCTTATTAAATTCTTTGATTCTGATTTTTTAGAATGTGATGTGTTGTGAGGGGTAAGGAATGAAATAATTTGACAAGGAAAAGCAATAAATGTGTTCAATGAGATATTCTTTAAATATTTTTGACAGGCTCAAAGGGAAAATGTAACCAGGCAAATCCCTGGCCAGAACCCTTTTTTCATAGTTTATAATTGATGTCCTTTTTCATAAAAATAAAATTTGCCTCCTGTTTGTGCAGATTCTACGAGAAGTTTGGTATGCCAGGTGTAATTGGTGCTATTGATGGCACTCTCATATGCATTAAACCTCCAATATTGAATGAAGAGCAATTTTTTAGCCGGAAACAAAGCCATTCAATAAACACCCAAATAGTGAGTAAAAATACTACCTAGTGATTTTTTTTTTTCTTCTTTATTAGTGAGATAGGTAACAAAGTAAAGTAACAAGTTGACAAAGTAAACTGCTTCAAAATGAAATGATTTGTGCCTGATAATGATGCTTGCAGATCAAATTTTCTAGCATTATCACAAAGATAGAAAAATTAAGTTAAGCTGATCTGCATCTAGCCGTACAGGAAAGAGCCATAGTTTAAAAATACTACAGTGTATTTGAAAAATTATGTCAAGCTAATATTTGCAATGAAAGATTGAAGAAAGGTCCACATTAATAGGTACTTGACCTTCATACTTTAATTTCAAAGGGTCTTCATGCAGTGAAGGAGTTAGATTTTAAATGAAACCATGTTTTAAATATCTAGTTATTAAATGAAATAATATAATTAAATATTGTTTTATTTTTTGATAAATTAAATTACAAGCTTAAACGAAATTTAAAAATATATGAAAATGTAGAAATTTACAATTTCAATTTACAATTTACGTTTAAACACTCACTGCTAAGAAATGAAACATTGTTGGTTGGTATTTACAACTGAGCTTGATTCAATTAAAACTTGATTTGAATGCCAAATACCTAATTTGCTTCCGAGTAATATTTTTCCCTGCTGAAATTGATTGATACATTGTGATTTGCAGATTTGTGATAGCAACCTGAAAATTTTAAATGTTAATCCAAGGCACGGAGGAGCGACCAACGACGCTTTTATCTGGTCACATTCTACAGTATTCCAATACCTCAGGGATCTTGTAATCAACCAAGGAGTACCCTATGTTTGGCTATTGGGTATGTATTTAGTTTGACAATGTATGCAATCAGGGTGTCTACAAGATTTTCAAAATGAAATTCCCTGACAATTCCAGGTTTTCCATGACAAAAAGTGACAAAATTCCCTGACTTTTTGGGTTTAGCCATACGATGAGCTAGTTGGAAAATATTAAAAAAAAAAACTATCCTTAGGAATGATCCCGCAAAGTCATATTTTGAATTACCATGGCGTTGGAAGGAGTTGAGTAATACTTTTGAAAGGAACGAGATCCTAAATACTCAAAATAAAGCTAATTCCAAAATGGTATACTCAGAGCAAAATTCACCTTCAAAATTTAATTTTTAAGCTCTACGACGCTCTCTTTGTGACATATCGCCCCATATACTTTTGAAAATTCAAACTATAGTTCACCCTGGTGGTTTCATAAATATTGGCATATTACTTAGTGCCCTGAAAATACAAGTCTCTTTTTCCTAAAATATAAAACAAGAGTTGTAAATGTGCCTAACTCAGGCAGATTTTGCTATAATCAAGAGGAAATACGAGTCTCTTCTCGATTTTAGGTAAATTTGCTTGATTCGGTATTTTTTTTTTCTTAAAAAAAAAGTTCAATTAATTCAATAGATTCCATTCATTATATCAACCTATTGTTGGTATTGAATTTGTCTTATACTCAACAAGCGTTGGCTTGTTAGAATATAATCCACCAATAATATTTCTACAAGGTGGATGCACCAGTTGTGAACATGTTGATTTAAGAACCAGAAAAATTTCATGCAAAATGCAATTGACATTAAATATTTCTTTATTCAGTTGAAGAAAAACTAAAATTCCAGCACTTTCATTAAATTTCCTAACTTATTGAAAAAATTGATTAACCATCTGCTCAAAACTGGGGCACTCACCTTAGAAAACCTTGGTCATGTATGTTGAAACTAGTTTCCTATCATTATTTACTGTAATTTTCTGCTGTTAGCAAATTAACTTCATTCAAGTCTATTTAGTCTATCTTGCCATTTGGCATGAATTAAGTAGATAAATTAAAAAGGGCAGATTGATTCGATCTTTAAAGTTGATTTGGACGAATGGATGTGAGATCATTGAAAAGATCAAAATTGAAAAAGAAAATAAAATTTTATTGAAGAAATTAAGTCTTTAGAATTAAGAAATTAAGAATTTAAGTTTTCCGGACCTGCAGACACCCTGGAAATTCACTCAGCTCCTGCAAAATTTCACATCAAAATTAGAATGAAAATTATGGTTCAAATACAAGTAATAAATGCAGTAAAAAGCAATAATAAAATTTTCCATCATTTCAATTTCTTTTCTTCTAACTGACCGTTTGTCATTTATTTCTTTAGGAGACAGCGGGTATCCACTTCAGCCATGGCTCCTGACACCCATTGTTGGTGCAGACCCTGATTCTCCTCAAGGGCGGTACACAAAGGCACATATCCTCGCCAGAAATACCGTTGAAAGAGTTAATGGCGTTTTGAAACAAAAATGGAGATGTGTCAAGAAGGATCGTGTTCTCCATTATGACCCTGCAGCTGCGAGAAAAATCATCAATTGTTGCGCCATCCTCCACAATATCGCACTGCAAGCTATGCCAGACTGGCTGGACGATGAGGAGCTACCTGCACCTCCTGTGATAGAACCAGTGGAACCAGTGGTGGGAAATCACTACCTCGAGAGAGGTAGACAGGTCCGCGCCAATCTTATCACTGCTCGCTACACGTAGTCTGCAGCAGGTCAACCTTTCGCTTGCACATGACCTTATGCAATGCCCCGGTCTTGCAGTCAAGAAGTTCATGCATCTCTAACCAGATTCATCGACAAAGGTCAAATTTCAATAACGGGTTGGTTGCAAAATTTTGCTGGAGCAATAGGAAGAGTTGTTACTTCTGGTAACTGGCTCCAAAATCACAATGGGCACAGGGAGAAAATCTGAAGTTCACTCCTAACTTCACACTTTGTGTATGAAATTTGCACAATTTCAATGCCCCTTCTGAAAAAAGCATACTAAAGCGAAGACACACTTTGAATGAGATGAGTCACCCCAGTTTCACAACTCCACGCCAAGCTGAAAATAGATGCTGTCATTTGGAGCAGTTTTTTAATTATTACAAACAAACGACACACTAAACCTCACCAATCCAGGATCCAGCATCTTCTATTTAATATCTTGCTTTTCAAACAGCTTAACGTTGAGCTGCAAAATCAAGGTACTCGCCTGTATCAAATTTTGTCTTTGCTGTTGTATGCTTTTTGAAACATTGCGCTTAAAAATGCACACATATCTTAAGCAGATTGCGATGTTAAGAGTCAATTTCAGATTTTTTTGGTGCCCTCATCATGATATTTGAGTCATTTCCCTTCAGTCACATTACTACTTTTTAGGTCTAGCAAAAGTTAGCAAAGGACCCATTGACCAACTGGGGTAGAGAACTTTCTGATCTATTATTTTTTATTTATGTCTCTGTGTTTACTCACTCTGATTATTCAGAAAAGCCTGCAAGAACTGATTCCCGACTGCTACCCAGCCTTCCAATGCTAGAGCGATACGCTCTTGTACCTCGACTGACCGCTCTTGTACCTCGACTGACCGCTCTTGTACCTCGACTGACCGCTCTTGTACCTCGACCGCCCGCTCCATTACTCCTGTGAATCGATCAATAGATTCAGTCAATTTCCTTTTTGCTTCAATGTCATCCTGGAAAAAATCAAAGAGGAAATAAACAGCAAATTACTTAATGATGTGCCTCATAGTACATAATTATAATACATTATTACAATCGATTTACTCATCGAATAATGCACTCCATTTCTAGATCCATCATCATCTTGTCAGTTTTGGTTGGAATGCGGCTTTCATGCTCTTTCTCCATTTACTTTTTATGTTCTGACTCTTTGTCTCTGAATTGTGAACACATCTAATTTGAAAAGGAGTGAGAAAAATGTAAAATTTTGTGAGGGCAGAGGCAGGTGTTGTGCATGGGACAATCTGCAATCTGCACTACATACAAACGATATCGTTTATTTAGTAACTTTCTTAATTTGAATTTCCTTTAGGATCTCCTCCATGCTGAAATATTAGAGACTTAGGTGCTTCCAAATCATGTCAGATTTTTATCACATTAGGGACTTAACATCCTGACCAAAATCAAATTGGTGCCTTAATTTGACTACATATTACAATCAGGAGCAACAATTCTGGATTATGCACAGCTGCTCATAGATGTGCATCTATGTTCAGAAAGAAATGGCACATATGCCCTTTCGTCGGTGAAATGATAGTTTCTTACTGTAGAATTTAGTTTAACATAATGGTTGGCTCTTTATGCAATTTGATTGAGAGCTCCATTCCCATTCTTACAAATGCATCCTGAAAAATTCCTGTCACTGACAAAAGTAGTAGTAAAGAAAAATAAAAGTTGTTGCCACTTGTGGTGTATATTTGCTAAAAATATGTTTACCTTTGTTAATTTTCGCGTCTCAGCCATCCCTTCTGAGAATACGCCGGTCGTTTCCATGAAGGCATCGTGGACTCTCTGCCCTGTGAGGCAAAACACTTGAGATTAGAATTAACATCTAAGGGAAAAAGGAAGGATGGAAGGATGGAAGGAACCTTCAAAAACAATAATTGTTGAAAATGAACCATTTTCTTTGCAACCGACTTTAGAGGCTCCCCAAAAATTAAAATGTAAAGCACATGTGTTTAAACGTGAGCATAGTCCAGCAAAGATGACAAGTTCTGATTATCCCTTATTTTTTAGTATTTCTTGATGAGAGATGAACCTCTTTCACAAATCGTGCGGTAGCTCTCATCAAGTACACGTAGCAGTCCAAATTATGTATTGTTCTGCTGGGCATTTCTAATTTTTGTATTACCTTAGAATGTTAAGAAAGGAGTATGTTTCTCCCGGCAAAATTTTCGTGTGAATTGAAATATGTAGAGATTAATGGTTAACATGTTGGAATTTCAAAATGCCTACTTAAAACTTTACCAAAATGTTGAATGTAAGAAACAAATTTCATGCATGTTTTTTCTCTTTCTCTCCCCCCCCCCCTCNCATTTGCAGCAAGGTAAAAGGGGGAAAAATCGAGCATTAACACATTTTATGTTATGAAAAGCCTTTTTTCAACCAGTGTATTTTGTTACCTATACTAATAACTGAAAACAATGTAAAGTGCCAAAAGTTACTCACTCTTCCTTGGTACAAATGTACTTTTTTTCTTTTCGCCTTCCTTCTGGACTTCGGTGGTTCCTGAAAAATCCAATTAAAAATGAACTAAACCATTGGTATATTTTGAGATGTTTTAGGACTATTTTTTAATAATATTTAAAAATTGGTAGGCTCCTTTGAAAGGTTTAGTTTCCTCTTAATTATAGCTGATAGGTAAACTGCAAGACAGATAGAATATGAGGGGTAGAAAAGGAAGATAACAATGTAAGGATGTATTTCCTAAAAATGTAATGTAGATACTTAAAAAATTGAAGATAAATCCAAGTAAACAAAAGTTTTTTCCTTCTTACTTCCTGCTCGTTCATTTTAGGTGAAAAAATAAATTGCTCGTCAGAGGAGGGGGAGGGGGTTATTTCCTGCGCTCCGCGCTTAAATTAAACTTAGAAGGTGCATCTTTTCTGATAAAATAGAACAGTTTCTATGATACCTAAATGAGTCCCCAACATACATACCATTTTCTTTGGAGCAACTAGGTAAAGAGTGGGGAGCCGGCTTTGGTGTTGATTGGGGAGTTTTGGGTGGAATTTCTGGGGGAATCATACTTTTCACTTGTTCTTTCTCAGGGTTGTTATTTCTTTGCGTTCTCTGACATGAGAGATTTACTGAATTTTTGGGTGCAGTGCTTGTTGGGAGGGTTATGCTCTGTATTCCAAGTTCAGGGAAATCGAATTCAATAGTCTCAGTATCTGTGATGTCTAAAGAGGAGGAAAAATCGCATGAAAACTTAAAACTCAATACTTTTTGAAAAGAGGGACTGATGAAAATTTTACAGATTATATTTTCAGGTCAACAGAATTAGGCTACTAAAATCACTGACTGAGATTTTTCAAGGGAATGGAACATTTGTTTCCTCAAAGTATCCGACAAGAGACTCTATGAAAGCACTTCCATTACTTTTAAAAAAAATTTGTGGTTCGCAATTTTCACTCTCAAATCCCCCCCCCCCCAAAAAAACGANNCCTTCAGGGTGATCCATTTTTTGATAATCTTGTTTTTAACTTAATTTAATTCAGTGAGCCTTTGGTGAATTAGACATACTAATTCAGGCAACCAATGACTCGTGCCAAGGCCAGTATTGTTTCTTTTGAACGTGTTCATTTATTTGGTCTTATAATTATGTACTCAATTTTAAAATTAACAGCACAAGGCTGATTTTTTAATCCTGATAAAATGATGTAAAAGGGAATCAAAGAGTGTTTCATTTAGGTCTCAGTTGAAGTGCTCTGACATTCAAATCGAATGATTCCTGTACATTGCTGATAGCTTGCTGTGGCATATACAGTAGCTTCATGATAATGATGCAGTTACCAGTTGTACATACAATTTAGCTGTCAATTTGAGCTTTTGATGCCTCTTTAATAATTTTCCTCAAGATGTTCTTTGTTCCTATAATATGTATTAAAATTACAAACAATACTTTGTTCATTTTTCAGAGGTTTCTCATCTCAACTCATTTTATCAGCTAGTAATATACTTATTTATCTTTTCAACATTCCTTTTACTATCATTTGTATTGCCACCATTATGATCGAATGATCACCACCTTGCCGCTGTTGACAGATGCGTCTTACCACCTTTGCTTTTTGCATAATCATTTGATACACGAGAAAAAATACTGTTTCCTGAGATGATTCCAGGTAATTATTCCGTAGTTCTTTTGAAAATGGATGCAAAATGATCATTCCATTAAATACTTTGCAACATGAAAAAATTGAAAATGTTTATTATTATTAACTGTGAGTACTACCATTTTTTGAAGTTCTGGAATATTCACCCTCTCTAATCTTTACTTGGCAATTAATATGGAATGCTGAGAAATGTATTTTGACAGCAATAAACTCCTGTTAAATGCTTCTTTGTTAAAGTACCTAAATATACTCTTAACTTCCTGATCTTAGCACAATATTACTCACAGGTATCAGTCTGTTCATCAGGCATATCCGCATCTTCGGATTCCTCATCTCCTTCCCTTACAAGTTCAGGGGGTGGGGGTGGAAGCCAACTGTAATCAGCGTCATCGTCAAGAGCAGGTTGAGGTTGTTGTTGAGTCGCCTACAAACAGCGCAAAAGATATGTTCATAATTAAGAATCACTGCACATGAGAAAAGCTGAGAAACTATAAATGAAGGTGAGAATTGACAGAGATTTTAAAACTGTTTTGGACCCACTTATACTACCGTTTCAGGGAATAATTGCTAAAATTTGTCTGTACTGTATCCTAAACTCATACCCTGAGTCCCTTCCAAAGCTTTGAGTAATTTTCATTCATTATACATTTTGTATTCTCCATCATTTCGTTGATAAAGAGAGTTGTGTAAGTGAAAGAAAGAGAGAGATTCAGAGTCTCTCTCCATAAAACTTTATGTAGGGTAGAAACTTCTAGTCCACGACATGAGTAAAACATATTTTTTGCCACTTGTATTTTTATATAAGGAGAATATAGGATCCTGTCGCTATTAAGTTAATGAATTGAATGAAAGGAAATCATTGAATTAAATCATTCAGTTCAATTCAATTTTCTGAGAGTGTGACTGATTATTTTCTCAGATTAAACTCAGTTTTATCGGTAGTTTGCCAATATGCTTCGGTTAAAGTGACAGAATATGAACCTTCTCACCAGGGCTATCCCCAATTCCTCCTCCGTTCCTGCGCCGATGAAGTCTTTCCCCCCGCACAGATGATAAACCAGCTCCTCCTCGGGCTTCAATTTTTTTGGTGGCTTCCCAGAATTGCCTGTTGGCAAGTTTGTTATTCCGGCCGCAATTTTTTTAATGCGGAGTTTCATATCGCTCCACGTCTGGAAAAAGTTACGGAGAGAAAAATTGGTTTTATTTAATACATCATGGTAAACGAACAAGAATGGTGCAAGGGTCATCAGAGATAAAGGTCACTTAGTTCGGAGGAAAATTTTTGGATTGCTTGTAAAATCTTGCGGGAAAAGTAGGTAACTTGATGTTCAAGTGCCTCAATACCAAAGAAATTGCCAACAAATAACAAATTTTTGCCGAAAAAAAATGTCCCATGGTACCAATCAATCGCATAAAGTATAAATAATAATAATAAAAAAAATGATTTCCACCCTTTGAACTTGAACCCATATAACAAAATACGATGCTGAATTAAGTTAATTAAATTTGGAATTTTTCAGGGAAGAACAGAAATTTAAGTACCTGTGTCTAATTCAAAAGAAGAAATCAAAATTAGAAAACTCATTCAGGGTAGACTAGGATGTTGCAATTTCAAAATTTCAACTTGCAGAATAAAAGAACCAAAAATGTTGTTAGTTTTGAACTGCATTTGGTGTAAATAAATTGTTCATTACATTATACGTACTTGTTTCCAGCCTGAAGCGTCTTTAGTAGCTGCACCAATGGCGTTTAGCTCATTGGTGAGCTTCTGCCAGCGTTTTGCCCCTGCATCTGATCCGTTCGGCCCTGGGTCGACCCCATGTTTCGCGAAGTACGAATGGTCAACCATGTAGGTGATCAAATGGGTCTTTTGCGCCTCACTCATTCTTTGTTTTTTTGTTTCGCCCTGTTTCCTTTCACTCATCCTGAAACGATAACACAGCAACCTTGCAATAAATGAAAATAAAATTGGTCAGTGAACAATGAAAGTATTACGACACACAACTTCATTCTTAATTGGAGATAGTGGAATGGTGAGCTACGATTTAATTTCTTGCTAAAAGCCTTTCTAGAAACCTTTAGATTTACCAGCAGGGATTTAATTCTGAAAAAAAAAAAAAACAAACAAACAAAAACAGGAAAAACCCTTCCTCTACAACCATCATTGATTGTGAAATAAAGAATAAAAATGTCGGTGAGGAAAAATAAAGGGATGAGTGAGAGCAGGTTTAAAGGACCTCCCAAATTAGCAGAGATGTTGACATTACATCATAGCTATTAGTGCAAGCTTCTGTAAAATATAATGTAACAAGTGCTTTTGTTTTACAGAAACAAGCACCAATGGTTAGATGTGATATCAACACCTCTGAGAAATGGAGACTCCAACTCTCACTTTCAAGAAGTAAAACCAAGGATGACCTCTGCATGACAAAACACAAAGCGCCTTAAAAACAGCTCTGAGCTCTGAGAATTTTTGTTCCATGAACAGTAATTTGAGGCAGTTAACTTGCAGTGCAACTAATCCTCGCATAACATCTGTGGGTCAATATTTATATTTAACTTCTTACGAGAGCTTGTCAAAAGGGCTTCATCAGTGAATGGAGAAAGCAAGACTACACCTACACACAAAGGCTCATAAAAAATAATCATTTGATAAACTTTCATTGGAGGCTCAGCCATTGATTCATGGAAAAATTCTACCTCGGCAAATATTCACTTGAGCCACTGGTGCAAAACACCAATTGTAATACCCAGTACAAATGAAGGCAAAAAACTTACTTACATCACAAATGAGACTGTACTTACTTCGAATCCTCCAAACTCACCGCAAGACATCGCCTGCTACCCCAGCTTACCGACAGCAATGTGCAATCCTCAAAACGGCAGCGTCCAAGTAGTTTATTCTCAGACAGATTTTAACTGCAATCTACTTGCTGTATAGCGTAGTTGTGTAGTAAGTATCAACACTTGAACAACCGCAATATACCAGCAGTACGAAGCAATTATTTTTTCTTACCTATTAAGAGTATCATCACATAGTTGGAATGGACTCAAGTGTGATGGGACAGATAGAGGATCGGAGTAAAGGCTCAAAATGTGGCTGACTAATTATTGGGTTCAAGCATTGGGACTAATTTTTGTTTTCATGGTTTCATCGTTTCGTAGGTAATCATGCTAAAAGGAGACACGTATTTCTCATGTAGAAAAAAAGAGAAAGTTACATTACAACTTCTGAGATTGATATTTGATGTGCTACTTTTGGTGAAGTTGGAGTGCACAATTGGTAAACTTCTTGATGATAAGATTCTGCACATTAATCATGACAATCTTGATCCCTCAAATTAGAAGATTACTTGAATTAAGTTATGCTACAAGTACCTAGAGAAAGTTTCATTCCATTGAAATGAGGGGTCCAAGACTAACGTTTGGAATGACTTGATAAGGGCATATTTACTTACGTTACTTGTGGAGATACGGACTTGAGAAACAGAGGATGAGAAATGACGGTAGGTAGGATGAGGAGGGATAAAAATCAGAGACGGAGAAGAACAAGAACAGAATTAAATAATGAAAAACACTATCTAAAACACTTTAATCACAACACTTTTCACTGCACAGCAACGAAACGAAATCAACGAATGCCGGATATCCTCAAAACAAAACACATCACAAGAACAAAACATTATCCGTTTCCGCCATTTCCGCCCTAATCTGTGTTTCCGCCGGAAACGCCGCCAAGAGAGTCACTGCGTTTTGATTGGTTGAGAGATATTTAAGAATTCGGTAATTACGCAGCCGACGACGGCAACGCTGCCGCTTTGTCGTGCCTTGTCGATTAGACCTTATGTCTTGTCTTAACCGTTCCGAAGTGTTCAACAATCGCAATTCCCTCGAGTTAACTTGTCAGCCCGATAAGACATAGTGTCGTCCTTGCTTTGTCGATCGATTTCAACAATCAGGCTGCTGGTCGCCTGGAACATAAAAATAGGATACAATGGGACATGGGTACGTTGCACGCAAGTGACACGACAAAGTGAATAGACTTTTTACGGGTAAAG